CTGAACCCCGAGTTATGAATTTACGCGGGAAAAATTTTGGGGGCTCGTACGCGGGTACCACACTTCACGCGGGGCTGGACCTCATTAGTACCTACTTGGACGGGGAACATTCGCATAAAATTTCAGCTCTCTAGCTTTTGTGGTTCACCTACTTGGACGGGGGAAGATTCCCACAAAATTTCAGCTCTCTAGCTTTTCTGGTTCGCGAGTTATTAGCTTACCCATTAAAAACTTTGGCGGGGTCTTACCGGGGTACCACGCGGGAAAGACCGCCCATTTTGGGGATAGGGGCCCGTACATGCATGTAGATTAAATCCCCAAAGTTTCAGCCCTGTAGCTTTTGCCGGTCTCGAGATGAAAAATTGGTACAGAGGCCCAGCGCACACACAGACACACACACGCACAAGTCCCCAAAGTTTCAGCTCCGTAGCTTTTGCCGGTCTCGAGATGAAAAACCGATACAGAGGCCCAGCGCACACACAGACACATCGCAGCTTTTATAGGTCCGGAGATGAAAGTGCGTGACAGACGCACACACAGGCACACAGACACACGAACACACAGACAACCTCTCGTCAATATGCGTTTTTCGCATTGCATTGCTGCAAAAAACGCATAAAAAGGGCTACTAGACAAAACCACCAAGAAATAAAAAGCGAATTCCCGTGTACGGACACGACACTGGCCATTTTGTAATTCTGTAAGCACAATAGTTTGAAAGCTAAAATTTTGCGAGTTTGTTCAAGATAGTGTAAAAAAGTGGAATCAGCTTTCACGCTCCTCATGAAACCTGCGCCTAGACACATGGAAAACTGACTTGACAATTTTGTGACTTCTCAACCAAACTACCCAGAGAACTGAATTTTCCAGAACGTCACACATGGCTCTGTTTTGCGTTTAATAAAGAAGAGCTTTAACAATTGCATAGCAAAACAAAATGTCTTTTCTGCTGCATCTTCTTATGTGTTGGCATTTATTCGGATGATTTCGGATCGAGAATAAGAAACCAGGACCGACATGACCAAGTCTACAACTAATAGACGAACCCATGGCCACCGCACGCGAGACGAGCTTCGTCCAAAGCGTTTACTCCTGTTTCCGTCAATATCACTTTTGCTGCGCAACCAAGGACATGCAATTCTCGTGAAGTCGCACACAACTGCTATAAATCCTATGTTTTTAATCATCAATATTGTTCAAATTTCTCTTATTCTCAAATTGAATCTTAGGTCACGAAAACTGGTTGTGAAAAACAGAGTAATGGTTTTCAACCGGCTGGTAGAAGCGACACGTAGCACGACTCTTGTGCAGAAGAGTTACATTTTGCCAGAAAGACAACCAGTCTCACTACAACTCATTCATTCGTTTCGATGACAAACTGATACTGGCAGATGTTACAGAGTCATTTCATCCCTTGCATCTAAAAGGTTCCACCTTGCCAGCGATGCATCTAAAATGACCTGAGTGCCTTCGTATTTCCTACAGTTGAAGAGGAGGAAACGGCTAGAAGGCAGAAGAATCTAGGATTTCGACCCTGACATAGGGATGAAACCACAGGCCGCTTCCTAAAATGTTGCTGTGGCATTTGTTGTTCTGACTAATCCCTTATCATCTCTTGGCATTTCATCTGGAAAAATAGAGGGTTCTTTGCTAAGGTGCATCTGCTGAAATAAGTGTTAGTTTATTGAAGTGAATACCTTCCGCTGCTCTGAAA